GCGAAAAAAGAACCTGCCCAAAAACTTCCTTCTAACATCATTTTCTGCTGTTTTAAGCTGTCATTGCTTTAAAAAACTGTCATCACTGATGCCCGCAGCACCAAGAAGCTGTGAGGCTTCCCTGAGCAATACCGTGGCCACACGGGGTCGGCTTAAAACTGCTTTGAACGGAAGGTATGGCTGTTAATCTTTCATATTTTTGTACCTTTACATGGAAAGATTTGGCGTAACATTCACGACTATAAACCTAGTACCTCCGTGAACAGATTAATTAGCCACCTGGTTGTCAGCAAAATGTCCAATCATCGTGTGGGTTTCTTGTTTTTCTTCCACCGCCCTATTGCAAAATATCCCACCAGCTAGCTATGTCTGAAGACATGATAATTCAAAATTTCATGTAATTATGGATTGCTACCAAACTCCCCACCTAGCTACGTTTCAAAAAATATTAATCTTGTCTATGAACCTACTGGTCCCCTTTAAAAGTACTGTCTATCAGCCTTATCGTCTGACTATCGAAAAGGCAGTCTCCTCGATCAGTTTGATCTCTCAAGGGGCTACCTAAGGCAGTCTTGTCGATCAGCTTGATCTCTCAAGGGGCTACCGTGAGAAGAGCTCTGAGGAAGCAAACATGCAGCGAAGGGTAGCAGTCAGTGCCCTATTGAAGGGAGAAGCTCCCACTGCTACTGCTAGCCATCACAGTGATGGCCACTGAAATTTGGCAACCCTGGTTGCTGTTTGCAACCCCGGTTTGAAAGAAAAAGTCTTTATGATGAGATGAAACAGTACCAGAGCTGGCTACAACAGGTGGAAGAAGGTCAAGAGACGTTGAAAGGAAGTAACGATCCTGAATATGATCCGGTACCTGACAACCCACCTGGACTTAGGGACCGAAAAGATGGCAAGGATGCTAGCCTCGCCAACAGCGACATTGGCCAAGATGGAAAAGATTGGGTCACTCGGATATCGAGGAACGAGCACGAGAGGGTCGTCGACAAGCCATGGCCGAAGCGTCAGGACCTTGATGTATGGCGATCAAACGTTGTACAAGCTGTCTGTGTTGCATCTGGTGATCCTGAAACAGCTGCATGGAGGAGATGGCTTACACCGGCTCAATTACCAGACCCAGATTATGCTGAACTCGCTGACTCAGGTGACTTTCGGTTCCAGTCCATAGACTCCAAACTGCCGATTGCCTTGCAGAACATGGTGGATGCTGCAGGTGAAGTTGCATCCGAAGTCAGAGTCAGGAAAAGGCAAAGGAGTCAAGTGCTTGGAAGAGAAGGGAACTTCTTAATGGGCAGGGAGATTCTAGCAATGGTTCTTGATCATTTCAGAACGACGTCTGAAGATGAAGTGTTGTTCAATGCCAGCCACATCTACAAATTACAGTATCGGGGTGATAAAGAAATGGACAAATTCCTCAATGCATGGATCGAAATCATCGCAAATATGAAAGTTGAGGACATACCGTCCGACAACACATTGCGCGACCATTTGTTGAGGAAGATTGATGGTTCTCAAGCACTGCATGTTGACCTCACTATCTTCAAAGGTAGGGACAATGATGATAAGAAGAAGACCTACAAGGAATTGCTAGAGATTATGAAGAGGCACATTGCACGAGAGGAAAGGAATATCGCAGCCCGAGATAAGTTCTACGCCAATCTTGGCAAGCCGACTACTCCTGCTCCAAAGCCTGCAGCACCTACGCCTGCACCGAAAGATGGTAAGACCGGAAAGCCGAGCGCTCCCGCACCCAAAGGTAAGCCTGGAGCTCCAGTATTACCTTCCGGCAATCCTAAGAGTCATGGCAAAGGCAAGGGCAGGGGTGGCTGAAGATCTAGATCACCTTCTACCAGAGATCCATCAAAGACCTTTTGTCACTTCCACTTTAACAAGGGGAACTGTACACATGGCGACAAATGCCAATACAGTCACTCCCAATATTACTGGGACAAGAGGAAGGACAAAGATGGGAAAGGTAGGAATGGCAGATCAACTACGCCGAGAAGATCGCAGACCCCTGGAGGGAAGAAGGACCACAATTGCTATGGGTGGCTGAAGGGCGACTGCAAGAAGGGTGACAAATGTACCTTCAAACACGACCCCAGCATGAAGGGCAAGAAGGCTGCTCCTTGTCTGGTACTAAGGCTACTCCAGCATTGGTTCGTGAGTACGATGATGACTTCATCGTGAGCGCAATGCCAAGCAAAAAGAAGACCAAGATGGATGTCAAGTTTAGTGAGCATGTGGATACCTTCGAGTACATGAAGCACGACTTTGTGCAGTGTTCGAATCGGAGGCCGAAGAGGAACTTGTCAAGAGCTCAGAAGCAATCATTAGCGTGCAGGACTACCCAAGAGATTATGAATGATCAACAATGGGTACTACAATCTAGATTGGGTATGACACGGGCGCGCGCAATTGGCATCTTGATGGACGACCTCAACGAGTTTTCGGACGTAGATGAGGTGCACATCGTCCTGGGCCCAAAGAGCGATATCAAGCTCAAGATCAACAACAATGACTACTTAGAGGACAACCCATGGGCAGAGATGTGTTACGAGGAGGTTATTCCTCACGTCCCTGGAAAATATGGACATAGTGGCAACATCATGTGCATCACCATGCCAATCGAGCTCAAGGACAGGCGTTTCATCATGGACTCTGGAAGTGGTCATGATCTCATTTCATCAACAAGAGTTGACAGGATGGAAATTGACACATACGAGAGTTCAAGAGTTAACTTCCACACTGCCGATGGCATCACATCAACTGCAACTATGGTGGGCTTGGACTTCGACACGTTCAATGAGCCTGCTAGGGCGCATGTGTTGGAGGACACTCCATCAGTGCTTTCATTGGCAAAGCGATGCATGGAACAAGGTTATACCTTGGTTTGGCCTAGTGGGAGATCAGGATGGAAGTTCATGATCTCATTCCATATGTCTACCTCGGGGCGAAAGACTATCGGCCGTCGCCCGATCACGGGGCCGAGTTGGTGATGAAGGTGTTGGGTCTCATGGGCAACAGCCCTGCATCGAGGACGATATTCCTCGATGGTGAAAGTGGCGACGAGATGTCTGAATCGGATGATGGAGCTGGTACGTACGTCGACGGGCCAACGAGTCTCCCGAGGAAGACAAAGAAGAAGAGAAAACCTAAGCGAAAGACAGTTCCTGCAGCAGCTGGAGAACTTGATGATGATGATGGTTATGAACCTTCTATCCGTGACGAAGGCCCGGATGAGGAGGATGCTTACGTTGATGGAGTCCCTGGCCAGAATGAAGATGGAGGCGACGACGATGATCAAGCTCCGGCAGCTGGTGAAGATCCAGATGTTGATCAACATGATGGAGATGAAATTGGTGTTGAGAATGGACCGCATGAAGCAGAAGATGATGAGGATGATATCGATGTGGATGATCCTGATGGAGGAGTGCGGTTGTCGAAAAGAGGTACTTTGAAGCATGAAGCTCGTACTCTAGAGCACTTGTTGACGCATCGATACAAGAATCCGTACTGCAACTCTTGTGTACGGGCCAAGATGAAACATCACAAGACCTATCGAGGTGCATTCCGTCGAAAGCTCACCAAGTTCGGCGACCTCATCACCTTTGACTTGATCGACAGCACTGCGAGAGCCATTGACACCATGATCCTCCAAGAAGGTTTTTCCCTGTGACGGTTTTGTTGGCTATTCCTCTTTTCCGTTGGTGCAGTCCGCCTCCAAATTGGAAGCCTGGGCTACGCACCTCTCGTGTTGGCCCAAACTCCATGATCCTCAGTTACCTGAAGGACCGGTACAGACTGTATCACGCGTGGACCGCTATCCACACAGACGGATAGGCTACTTCCTGAATTTGACGGATATATTCCATACTTCGGTGAAAATGCCGGAGGTGATCTCAGGGAACCTAACGAGGCTGAGTTTAAGGCGGCATTCCAGGAGCTCGCCAAAGACGGCAAGATCGGTGGGAGGGACCTTGAAGTATACCTGAAGGGGGTGAATGGCATAAGGACTTTGTGCAAAATTATGAAGTACCTTGTGCTGACTGGGGTGACACCACAACTCATCAACACCAAGGTCATCGACGCTGTCGGCGTGGATGAAGAGAGAAAGATTGAAGTTCGGCATGAAGCTACTGACTTTGTCCGCAAGATCATTGCAGGGACATTCGCAGTACGATCCTATGATTATTTCAGGGTAGACCCGCCAAGACGAGATGATCACGTGCACCTCGACCCCCTAACTGAACGAGCACGCACCTGCGCTGTTCTCGTGACCCTCAACAAAGTTGGACTGCAGCTTCCTCAAGCGCTACAACGATCATGGGAGGGCAAGCTGAAGGCTGTCACGCAGAGCGAGACACAGTTGGAGACCAGCATCAGAACTCTTGACCCTTCAGAACGAGACAGAGTGCGGAACTACATCAGGGCCATCGCCAACGTCCCGGGAACGGAAGAGGGCGCTGCATCAGGTAGCAAAGACGCAAAGGAGACCAAGAAAAGGAGGAAGAAATGAAGAGCGTCTGGTCTACAACACTGCGGGGAACTTCTGAGAGAGGCATGAGCGCCGGGCTAATTAAAGTAGAGCCTACGAATAGGAGCTGCGAAGACAGCTTCCGTGCGAAAGCTCAAAATTTTTGAGTCTGAACGAGATCGGAAGTCTGGATAATGTGGACATCAGACAGTAGTGTACAGTCAAGAGGTGATCGGAAATCAGTGTGTGAGTCCGCCACTGAGAGTACATGATCCTGGGACGTGGCCGGAAACTAGTGCGTGAGTCCGCCACTAGGAGTACGTGATCGTCCACGCATAATGTACATAGCGTTAGAGTCCACATCGTACAGTATTACATTTTTATGGCACGGAAAGACATTAATTCGAAAGGGATGGAACGCCAATTTAGAGTCCCATGCGTTTGCTCCGGTACCCAACCAAAACATAAGGTTGGGGATGGGGGGTGTCAAAGGGACATAGGCGGGAATCCATCCATGGTTAAGGCAATAACAGCGGCCAGCACCGATGTACCGAATGCATATGTGACCGGTTCTTGGCTCAAGACACGCTTGCCCCTCCAAGCAAAAGGAACTGCGGTTGCTGCCATTGATGGTTGGGCGAGACCATATACACGATCACAAAGTTCAACCAGTACAATCACAAAAATGTATAATATGTTTTTAACCCATTCCCAAATGATAATCGCTGGGCCTTGCGCCTCAGGATTGCAAGTTGCAAGGCACCATCATTTCCAGCAACGCTGCAATCAGTGCATGTGAGCGTTGTGACGAGTGGCAGCGGGCGCTGAGCCTCTTCAAACATGTCAATGACTTGCGTCTCGATGCAACAATCATCACCTTTGGCGCAGCCATCAGTGCATGTGAGTCAGGTGCACAATGGCACCGGGCCACTGAACTCAAACAAGGTTGCCCTTTGTGCTTCATAGTGTCAAGAGTGCTTTTCCATCGCTGGCTAAGTCTTGGTAAGCACCGTACCAAAAAGCTCAGGCCCTGCTGCTTCTATATCAGCTTCTGGAATCTTCATTGCAAGCAAGCATCCGGTCCTATAGTGCTGCCATCAGCGCATGTGCTGGCTGTGGTAAATGGCAACTCTCGCTGGAGCTTCTCAACCAAATGGAAGCAGCAGAGTTGGCAGCTAATATCATCACCTATAACGCAGCGATCAGCGCTTGCGAGAAATGTAACCTGGCTGGGTGGGTTGGGCTTAGCCTTGGCCATCCCACACTGGTTCAAAACAGTTGATTTTCCCGCTTTTTTTGCCAATGTCGTCACCTAGGCAAGCGATGGCTCACTGCCTTGAACATTTTCGAGAAGCTGAGAGACCTTCGGTTGGAAGCCACCGTGGTGACTTATGCTGCTTGCATCAGTGCCTGCGAAAAGGGCGGACAATGGACGAGGGCTTTGCACTTTTTGGCCGAACTAGTATCTTGGCCATAGAACTCTTCAGCACAGCATTCCCTCTCTGGCTCTTCCTTGCCGGGTGGTTAATGTGTTTTTTCATGCCAGTAGCCAATAGCTGCTAGCTTGCGCTCTAGGAAGCATCCAAGATTCGCTCCAACTCCATCATCTACAATGCGGCAATGAGCGCCTGCGAAAAGTGCAAAGAATGGGAGAGGGCCTTGTTCCTGTTTGCTCAACTGGGTGCCCAAAGCATGCGATACAGCACAGTCACATGCAACGCTTCTTTTCTGCACATAGGTTTGCTACAAGCGAACATACCAGCTTCCCCTCCAGAAGTCTTGAGATGGAGGGGAATGGCAAACATACACACTTTGCAGCATTTTTTTGTGAAGCAGGCGACTCTTTTTGGATTTGCCCAGGCAGCCATCAGCGCATGTGCAAGTGGAGAGCAGTGGCAGTGGGCTTTGTTATTGCTCGCGGGTTTTGCGTCACATAGTTTGGAAACTTGCCAGCACTTGCTTCTATTGTTTTCGTGCTCCTCATGGCAAGTTTTGATATACCAGCATTCCTGTGAGTGTCATTGCACATGGACATACTAATGATCCCGCTTGCGTATTTTTCTGGGCTTGAGAGAAGAGACGCCTGTTTTTCCTGGCTAGGAGAAGTCTGTGGTTACATACAGCGCGCCTTGGCCCAAACCTAGCTTAGTGCCACAAGACAGTTTGCTTGAACCCTTGCCCTTGTTCGGGCTATGTGGAAAGCAGACTGGGTGCCAAGGCAGGCATCAGCGCCTGTGAAACTTCAAGACGCTGGGCACTGGCTTTGGAGGTGTTTGATTCTTGCCAAGCAGCGCGGGTTGAGGAGACCTTGGTGCTCTACAACACAGCCATCAGCAGCTGTGAGAAAGGCAGCTATTGGCAGTTGGCTGTCCAGCTCATCGCGGAACTGCAAGGCAATACTTTTCGCCCAAGCATTATCACATTCAATGCGGCAATGAGCGCTTGCTCCAAGGGCAGCCAGTGGCGAAGTGCAATCTTGCTTTTTGCGCAGGCCCAGAACAGCAGTGCGCACGGCACGCTGGTGACATACTGCGAAGCCATGGCGGCTCTTGCAGCAGGTGCCCAGTGGCATGCAGCTTTCGATTTTCTTGCTTCGTTGAACAGGAGCCCCTATCACTCTTTGGTTGCTGCTTGCAAAGCAGTGACTGCTTGCGAGGCAGCCCCATGTCCGTACTTGAGGCTGAGCCTGTATGATCTTGAACTGCGACTTTATTCATTCCTTCAAAATTGTTGTGCTTCAAGATTCGCGCATACCGTGGTTCTGGACTGCACTACTTTGTTCGTTCGCCGGTGCGTTAAATTCCTCGTTCGACTTTCACTCGTTCATCGCCCTTTGCGGTTCATATGCGCTTCATGGCTGATGATATTTAACTACTGTAAATTGATCATTAAGGCGCGACTTGTTTTTCTGCTATCTCCTCACATTCTCTCCGTGCACTTGAGTCGCTGCGTCAAGGATTTGCGCACTGTTCTATCAGCTTCCTCTTTAAGCTACCTTTGCTCGTGGACTTTGTGTTCTTGGCTGTTTCTTATGGCTGCTTTTGCTGCTGCTTCGTGCAGCCGCTTCCTCACAGAAGTCAGCCGAAAATCCTTCACGCAGCTGCACAAGAAAGTGGCCCAACGTGAAAGGCAACCGCACTGGACAACAGTCGAAAGCTAAAGTCATATAGTATGTCAACACAAAAAATCCAACAAAACCAAAGGAGAACAGCAAAAATTGTAGCATAAGTTCGAACATATAATATAGATTGCCCAGTGGGTGCAGAACGCATTTCTTTGTGCAGTGTTTCCAACCAACGCCCGAAACGATCAGGAGACATGAAACACCAGAGCAGGAGATCAGAGACACAAGCTAAAGGCCACTTCGGTGGCAAAACACCACAGCAAGACATCGGGTAGCTGTCGCGCTTTCTTCAGTTGCCTCTTCTTTGAACTACCTGCCGGTCTTCGTTGAACGCTTCTTCCCCAGGCAACATATTTGCAAAATAGTTGGGCCATGTTGGGCCAATCTGCAACTTAGGGTTTGGCTGCGAACTTTTTTGTGGATTTAGTGATGCCCCCACTTGCCGCACGTCGGATTAAAGGCTTTGGTTTAGGAATTTCGCGCGTAAAAACATATGAAACATTGAAATGAGCAACAATCGCTTGGATGGAAATGTGCTTGAAGGTAGGTCTGTCAAGACGACACATGCGAGAGTACCCCCATCATGCTATATCATGCTCAGATGATGCGATCGTTGGAGCATAAGCTTGCGCAATAGAGGGAACAGCTACATTTGGGGTGCGAGATGTCTTTTTTGCTTTTGTCGATTTAAAATGGTCAACTTTTGGGCGCAACACGCGCTGAAGTTTAAATCCCACCCGTCTAATTTGTAAAGGTACATGCCAAGGTATGCCTGCCATATGCGGGGCACATGTAATAAGCTGTTGCCTTCATGATTTTTGGCGCATTTTGTTTGATTGGCTGCATATGCAAAAACCGTCGAATGTTTGATTATGATGCACAACCAGAAATTCATTGTGTTTTCGGCCGAATTTAGTAAACCGCTGAGTTTGATCATTTTTGTCCGAAATGTTCCCAACAGAGCCACTTCTGTGGCGCTAAGCAACGGGACTGCTGTTGTGGTGATCGTCAGGGAACATAGCCCATTATTTGAGAAGCAGCTCCGTAGATTGTGCTTGCTGTTGCTCACAATCCTTTTTTGGGAGCCGGCAATCGAAAAATCAGCCAACATAACTGCTGGATACTGCTGGCATTTACATTCCCCAAAAAACCAGGCACCAAGGATTCCAAAAACACGCTGTGAAAGCGTTCGTCAGTAAGGACACCCAGTTTAGCGGGCTGGGCGGCGACAGATCAATGGGAGGGAGCGCCGATAGAGATGAGAAAGTCCTTACCTTTTCGGGGCCGGCTTATCAAGGGATTGGTGCCCCGGATCTATTTTCCGATAAAATTATCCGTTCTCAGGAATATTTAATATATATTTTTTTAATGCCATCTTAATAATTAAAATAAATTAATAAGAAAATATTGTTTTATATTTATGTTTTTATTTATTTTAAACAAAAAAAATTAATTAATAAAATAATAATTACTAAATAACAAAAATATATATTGATTTTTTTTGAAATATATATTATTTTATAAATTTTATATTTTGAATAATTATTTAGATTATATTAATTATTATTAAATAATAAAAAAATATATTGTATTTTTTTGAAATGTATATTATTTTATAAATTTTATATTTTGAATAATTATTTAGAT